TATTGCCTGACAAGTAAGTTCAATGAAGTTGCCAAAGGGAAGGAAGATGCGCATTACCAACCATAAGATGGTACAAGGGTGAGATTTGTACGTACCTTCTAGGCTTGCTCGTCACATGCGGAAGTGCATCATCATTCTTAGACTATCGCTCGGATCCCACCGGGGATTGAAAAGAGTATTTCCCACAAATTTACGAAATTTCCAAAAACCGGAAAGTAGGCAAGCAGCCGTTAGCCTGAACGCAGCTTGCGCTATTCGAAAATAAGTCTTGTCGCTTGTAGGTTGGGAAGGAAGATGCGCATTACCAACCATAAGATGGTACAAGGGTGAGATTTGTACGTACCTTCGGGAAGGAAGATGCGCATTACCAACCATAAGATGGTACAAGGGTGAGATTTGTACGTACCTTCTAGGCTTGCTCGTCACATGCGGAAGTGCATCATCATTCTTAGACTATCGCTCGGATCCCACCGGGGATTGAAAAGAGTATTTCCCGCAAATTTACGAAATTTCCAAAAACCGGAAAGTAGGCAAGCAGCCGTTTGGCTGAACGCAGCTTGCGCTTTTCGAAAATAAGTCTTGTCGCTTGTAGGTTTGCTCCAAGTCGCTTTAATACGTTTTTTTACACGATTTCGTGTTGTTCTTCCCTTTTTTGGCATCTCCGTCGTTTTCAACTTTTCTTTTTCTAAGTAGAACACTGCGGATGCACTCTGCCAATGCTAATTTGGTCAAAAATTGATCAAATACTGATTAGCATCAGCATGGCAAGACTGGTAAGATTGCTTGCTGCCGTTTTTTCTTTAAAAACGTGATTTGTTAGTATATATGCAATCTCTATATTGTAACTAGCTCATAATCTGTACCCACTCTTGTTGAGTGGCTCATGATTTGCATAGTTTTTTGAAGATAATACAAAAGCATTTCTTGTCAACTCGAATAGCTTTTTAAGGAGTTTGCTGAGTACTAGCAAATTCCATCATGAGCAGCCACACAGGTGCCATCCATATGATTTTGATTTGATTTCTACAGTATATGAAAATCCTACTGATGAATTTCTTCAAACTTAACTGAGGATTTTAATTGGAGAAGGCGATGTGTTCAACGGTTCTCGCATACCGTGTATCAACAGGTGCAGCTGTGAGAGGGTGCTTTATCAATGAGAATGGGTGGGCACCGCAACTCTCCATCATCGATTCAAACCATTGTCACACGAATTCACAACAATGGGATAGCCTCTTCTAATAAATTAAGCTAGCAGATTTCGCTCGCTGATTGGGATGCTGGAAGCTCGACCGAATTATCGACAAACTTGTTAGTCAATTTATGACCTCATTGATCTCCTCATCAGCCTGCCTTTGAATAAGCACCGCTTCTTTGTATAATATCAAGGTAAGCGATTCTTGTGTTTGCATGTTTTTTTAAAGTCAGATAAGTGGCTTGCTTGTGGGTTACATACTCTCGTAGTTATGAAATGAAGATTTTCGAGGAAGGCTTTGCTGCCCAAAGAGTCGATTATGGTGAATTATTATGGAAATCAAGTGATGCAGCTACGCCAGCTCGCGCCTGGATTATTAGCAAGTGCCGGGCGTATGGGTGCTTTGAAGCGTAAACGCACGACACTCACTCCGCCGCGTGCGGCAACGCTGGAGAAGTTTGGGTTGCATCTACATCAACATAAATCTTCGTGTTCAAAGGGAATAATACATCTGCTCCAATACCGGCCATCAGTGGACACGATATATGAACCAAAGTGAACAGCATTCGAGCGCAATCAGTTCGGTTTCTCAGCTTTTGTTCCTTCCTCCTTATACTTTGCCCCGACACAGAAGAGATGTTAACCAATCGCGCGCCACTATTTTGAGCAGATCAAAAAGGTCGTGCCTCGGTGTATTGTACACCTCGTCGCGGATTCTTCAGTATACTGACCTTCGCTTTGGGAAAAAAGGAGTGAAGTGATGCTTTTGTCAAGAGGGCAGCTGTAAGAGCATGTTCTACGCAAGTGTTCAGAAGAATGTCACAATGCTTGAATGTCAGTAGTTCTCTGCATAACAGCTTTCGCAAACATTTAGATGCCATTCTGGTTCTGAGGCTTAGTTTAGTATGGCGCATTCTACTTACTTTCTCCACTAGCGTGATTTATACTAAGAACTTCCAATATACAGCGTAAATGTGAATGCCTGTCGTTTTAAAGAGAATTCCAGAATGTGTAAGAAGTTATATAGCATTTCTAACGCACGCGCTATATACTCAATTGTGTATTTAGCTGCCTAGTTTTTTGAGCTGACTAGTTATGTTATAGACTTTGAGGAAACAGTCTAAGGTATATTTGACGCATTTATAAACCAATCTTCATTTTAAAGTGGACTCACAAAGTCAGCGATTCTGATCAGCCTGAATTAGATTTTTGAATTGTTTTGTTTCCTTTTTGAATTGTAATACTGTATTAAGGGCCGGGCATACTTCACGCGATTTCGGTCGCAACGCGATTTGGCTATTATACACACTTCTGGCAACTAGCCAGAAGTCTTTAGATCCAACACTAGCAAACTGCACATGCATAGTGTGTATTTTACGTGGATGGATAAAATGGCTTATCTTCTGTACATTTGAAAAGTGCTTACAGTGAGTTATGACCAGGGAAGACGGTCTTTTCGCATGGGCGGTCCCATGCGCCACCCTTATTTTGACTTGTCTTAACGTCACGCACGCCGCAGGCCTTTCCTTCCCTTGCTTTGCTTGGGGAAGCCGCCTCAGGGTGTGCCGCGCGCGGCGGTGGTCCTAGGTGGAAAGCATCACGGTCGTGCGAATCGCCCTAGACCCATGGACGGTGTAAATAGTACCAAATCGCGTCGCATCTGAAATCACATGAAATATACCCGGCCATTTAAATGGCCTAAACCCCTTCAAAGCACCAACCTTGATGCCACAGTAATGAAGAGAGAGCCCTAAATCGCTTTTATAATAGAAATCCAAGTTCAAGGCAGCTCTACAGAATCCACCTTTATGTCCAAAGATGTTGCAAGAGGCTTGTTGGTTAACACGTTTCGGACCGCGAAATCGCGCTCGGCAAAAAGAGGGTACTTTCAGCCGTTAGCCAACAAAGGGACCTTAATTCGTAGATTGTGTGCTACATCTGTAATCAGCATGTAAGATAAGATTCATACCCAGAGTTGTGAGTGAATTCGAAGTGTTTGAATTTTGTCGTCTGAGAAGGATTTCTGTGCTTTCTTGGAAGATAGGAGCAAGAACAGTTTCTAACTGTATCCAAAAGTATCTATGTTGTACACGATACACATCATTATTGAAACTACGGTTTTTCTCTTTGTATTTAAAGCCAGGAAAAGTTGCGATGTCGCACGCGTCGTTCGCGTTGTCGCACTTCGTTGCAACTGATGTTCGATTTGTCCTCATATCTTGTGAACAAATATCGATGGCACAGTCCTACAGACCCTTTCGAAAAGGAGGAGCTTAGGCCTTTGACTTGATAACCTTGGACAAAAAGAAAACCTCCTGTAAACGTTGAAAAAATCCTTCAAAGGCGCGTGCTGCACCATGTGCAGCATCGGTCCGAAACGTGTTAACAAGCCCGTTTAAGCACACAAGCACTCGTTAAATTTTCGGACATTCTGCATCATTGTAATTAGGAGATCTGTATTTTTCGTTGTCTATCCAACAATTAGGGATAATCTCAAGAACACTTCGCTTATGAGCTTGAATTATCAGTGTGTATGATGATGATGATATGAAAGACGCGCGCAAAAATGTGAGGGTCTTATGAACATCTGCTTGTGTACAGGGGTTAATTGGGTCAATTGGAAAAAGTCCTAACATCTGTTATTATCATAGCCACACTTTGTCGTATCTTATATTGTATATATCTAGGTCTGACGCATTTCATGTGCAATTGCCACACTTATATTCCTAACTGTGCACTTCACATTTCTAACAAAATTTGCTCTATAAAACTTTCGTCAAAATCTTGTTGATTTTTTGGTTAAAAACACTTTTCTGGAAAGGGAGAAAGGAGCGGCACATATCCTACTTTCAGGGTTGTTCTTCACTCAATTAAGGATCACTGTAGTGGATCTTCAAAAATTGAAACAGCATCAGGTTGCCTCAGAAAAATGCAGAATTTTACTATGTGCTTGTATCCAAAACATCATTTGCACTAGTCTTTAAGAAGCCGTAGATAAAGCCAAAAAATGATCGCGAATAAAGCTTTCTTCCGTAGAAGCCTGAGATTTTGCGTTTGCTTCGCGATTGTTTCATTGATCGTAGCTGATTTTTCGCAAAACTCGTTCACAATGCGCTTCACTCTTTTATCCCTAGTGACACCATTAAGTGAATGTCCGTGAGAGTCTGGAATGTATCTCACTTGTGTCGGTGACAGATATCATTGTCAAAAGAGATTCCTTTTTCGCTGCTCTAGGATCGCGGACACTGAAACTTGCTAAGCTCATTGCGAACGTCATAGACGCGGCGAATCTCTCATGTGCTTCCGATCACATCGAAAATGTATGATAAGATTCATCTAAATCTTTATTTATTACTCCTTTTTCAACGAAGTCTACAATACAACCATACTGGAAAAATATGCAACATACGAATGCTGTCTGGCTGCAGTATGTACATACAATTTCTACCTAATATGTTGCAAGAGGAAGAAAAAATCGCGAAGATATCGTCGTGTTTCTTTTTCTGACGAAAAACCACATAAACGCACCTGCACAACATTTTTCAAATATTGATCGGATAACTGGATCAATACATCACTTTTCAGTTCGAAAAGGGTACCAACCAAATGCGCATAAACAAGAAGAGTTAAAGAAACGAGATTTTATTAGGGGACTCAGGTAGTTTGATTGCACCGAAATGAGCGTTGATAATAAATAAAAGTAGAGAGCACGAAAAGATGGCAACAGGCGTTGAAGAAGTCATGGCGCCAGCGTCGTGACTTCGTTCGACAAGCGACAGCACTGTAGGGGTACTGTAGCTGGCGTTTAACGCCTGGTTCCATCCTCGAAGAAGACTCCACCATCGATTGCGCAGTATTTGGGACAGATACCCTTTTCTCCAGAAGTTCCAGCAGGTCCAGGTGGTCCGGGAGGTCCAGCTTGTCCATCCATACCGGGTGGTCCATCGGGTCCAGGGAGTCCTTTTGGTCCTGCTGGTCCGGGCAAACCATCGTTTCCAGGTGCTCCAGGTGGTCCGGGAGGTCCGGGTGGTCCTGAAGGGATGCAAATTTGAATCATGTTTACAAAGGACACCAAAGGCCACATTTTTTCCGTTACTTACCTGGATCTCCAGGCTCTCCAGGTGCTCCGGGGGTGAGTGGCTCGCTTTGTGCGGGTGATCCAGGATCTCCTTGAGGTCCGGGCTGTCCAGGCTCTCCAGCAGGTCCAGGAGGTCCACGAGGTCCGGGCTGTCCATTAGGCGCATCGGTTCCGGGGCGTCCTGGGGTTCCAGCCTCTCCTGGGTCTCCGGGTGGTCCTGGTGGTCCAGGTGGTCCGGGTGGTCCCTGTGGGCAAGGCTTGCATGGTGGAGGAGTCGCAGGCTCACATGGTGCGGTGGGTGGTTTTCCGGGTACACCGGGTGTTCCTGGTGCTCCTGGACGGCCGGGTTTACCGGGCTTTCCTGGTGCTCCAGCTGGTCCTGGTGGTCCAGGCAGACAGCAACCTTCGCATTGGAGATTGGGAGATGGGTTGACATCAGGAGATGATGAACCATAGCCGGACTGGCGAGTGGTGCGATTTCGTGGGGCTGACGGGCCGGTGGCGGCTTTCATGAAGTTAACTTCAGCGAAGATATCTTTAGCGGATCCCTAGAAGAAAAAAGATAAAAAATCATTCAAGGAGGGGTGAAATTCTACTTCGACACAGTTGTTTGAACATCCAAAAATAAAGTACAGCTTGAATTTTTAAAAGTAAAATGGTGCCTCTTCTAAGCGATGAGTTTCGAAGAAGAATATATTTTTGAGCTTTTGCAAAAGTCTGTGGCGAGTACAATGCTGGTTCGACCCATTGAGAAAAAAGGATCAACGGCTAGGTTAACCAAAGTTGAAACAAAATTGGTGTAGTTTACGGGGTTTGCAAAACAAAAGCTTCTTGTACGTATTGAATAACTGACAATCGGTGAAAAAGTAATGTTTGGTATAAGAGAAAGAACAAACCTTGCAGAAGGAGATTTCATGTTGCATTTGTCGCCGAACATGGTTTACATAATTATAGACCATTGGTAGCGTTAGTACTACCGACAGTACGGCAACAATCGAAAATGAAACCGCAGCATAGGCGACGAATTTGTAAGCCTTTGTACGGCCGTCGGACTCCATCGCACTTATGGTAGTGGAAGTGGAGTGGATGGGGTGAGGTGACGATGCGATACAGTTCTCATCTCGGCCTTTTGTACTTGCTATCCAAGCGGCTCCGCCCGCGCGCCAGCCCCTGCGCGCCAACTAGCGCCGCGCTGTCCGCGCGGAAGCGCCTAGAAGCCGCTGGCGCGGAATCGCCGCTGCGGCGGCGGCGGCGGCGGCTTAGCGCTGAGCGACGCTGACAGCAGTAAAATACTGAAAAGATGCAAAAACGTGTTCGTAGCGTTGCGAGTCACAGTTTCGTCTTTCTTGACCCTTTCGCACCTAAAACGGGAAATTTTTATCAGAAGGCTGTCGCAGATTGGATTAAGAAGCGTACAAAGGTGAAAAAGCCTACTTGTTTTTCTGAAAATGCCTCAATTTCAACAATTCTTGAATCTATGGTATGGTATGCAGGAGCCTTATCATTAAGGAAAGTATCATGTATTTATTATATTTCACCGTTTTTCAAATCTATTGGGAAAGTGTCGATGTCAATATTATAGAAATTCTCATGTGAAATTATGACCATAAATTTCTTCTTATGTTTTCGTTCCCCACTTTCACCGTATATGAATCATGCAGCGGCATTCCCGTTTTTGTTACACCTTATCAATCACGGAGGATTTCACGGTCTTCATTTTCAGACAATGATCCAAACACCTTTCAAGTTTGCAAAGAATTTTGGGCAGAATACGATATGGCTATAGATATAAAGGGTGATGTCGACATTTTCAAAGGAAAATTAGCAGTATAACTGGGAAAGAATTTCAATCTGAAATCTATGAATTCTCGGCTTAGCTAAATACCTCCTATGCTGATATCTCTTGCAGCTTCTTAACGTGTGTTTTTACGTTGATACTTTTAGGGTTATAAGGCCAAGAAGTGAAAAAGCAAATTAGCTGTTGTTGTTTGTTTGATGGAAACTGCCAAATTCAAAGATAAACAATACGTGAACAAGAGCAAAAGGGGTGCACATCAAAAGGTATTACTGTATTTACATTGTGCATTATGAAAATAATGAGTTAGTTTTTTTTTAATATTTACTGTCTTAACTGCTAACTATGAACTGCCTGTTTTATTTACAAAACAAGTGCCAATGCAGCGCCTTCAACTACTGAGGACAGAAAATCAATTCATTTAGAGAAAAAATCAGGCTATCGGTATCAATGAGGTACGGATCCTAAATTCATAGCAAAGTAAAGTTTTTCAGATTTTCCAATTTTCAAGAGACTCAAAAGTTTTCTGGAAGGCTTTGAACTTTGGTTGTAGCATCCGAACTCTGCTGCGTCAGAATGTTCTGCTCTACTCTTGAAAAACCCAACTGCATATTCGGACTATCTGCATTTTCAATATTGCAGATCTTTAGCTGATGTTTATCGATCATCGACCAGACTCAAAAAGGGTTTTTCTAGCACTCTGCGGTTCACTCGCTGTCCTTTCTATCTTTTCTAATTTTAGGTTCAAAAGTAGTGTTCTTCAAAGCCAGCTATTCAGAACAAAAGGGAACCATGTTTAGTTGAAGTAGCCTTTTCAGATTGCATGTTCACCGTAATGGAGAGCATAAAATGCCTGACTCCAAGTCTGCTTTCTTTATCTGCGGAACATTTGTGAATGGGGAGTTATGAGCGTTTATACAAGCAAAAAAGATTGGTGCATTTAGGATAAAATGAGTTGCTAAATTCTTCTTAGCTCTTAAATGAAGCAAGCAAGTGTGATATATTTTTTATCTGAGAGTATTTATTGATTAAGTTGCTCTAATCATTACTGTCCCATTAAAGATCAATATTGCAACATTTTCTTCTTATATTTGCACATGTAATTATTTGCTCCAAAAAAGCTCACAAGTTCTCGTTCATGAATGTTCCGCAGATAAGGAAGGCAGCTTCGAAATTAGCGTTTCATGCCCTTTAATATGGTTTATACCCCATCTAAAAAGGCCACTTCTAAACATGGTTCCCTTGTTAAGTGAGAAAATAGTGCCACTTTCTGGCGCCATTTTCGTAAGGAGATATTTAATAGAGCATTTTTGATAATATTTAAAGAGCATTTTTTCATATCCTGGTTGTTGAGTCAATTTTTCCCTTAATATCAAACATTGAGGGTAAGCCTGTTTGTAATCGTCTTAAAAATTGTCAAAAAGGACAAAATCTTTACAACCCGAGCTGAAATTATGTAACCACTTGGTTAATGGCTGAGCAATGTGCGTCCGGAACAAAGTTCATCTTCCTGATCTCATCACTGGTGCAGCCGCGAGTGAAAACTCGTGCAGCGGCGACGAAAACCGCGGCGTCACCGAGTCCTTCATTACTTGTTCTTGTTGATTCGACTCTGATCATAACTTGTCCAATTTCTCGCGCTTGATCGACACAGCACTGATTTACTCCGATCAGAGAGAGATGTCAGGTTGATCAGCTGCAAACTAGTATCCGAGCCTGATCGAGTCGCTTGTCCACTGTCGTCTCTCGACGTCGTTGTCATCGTCAATCTCGCTCCGCTTTCACTTCAGCGGTTCTTATCGCTCATAATCGACTCAACCGCGCAGTTCCCCTTACCACGAAAACCTTAGCGACCGCCGCTTACAAGGATATAAAGTGACTTCCCAACAGAAGGTACTCCAAAATCTAGCATAAAAGTCCACTTTTCTCCTTAGATAGTCCTATGAACAGAAAGTAACAGACAGCACTCAACACGGCTGGCGCCGCGTCAAGCTGGATATTGTTTTTGGGCAAAAAGTAGAGGGGACATCGTTTTAGTGGACGAAAAGACACAAGATTTGTGACGTTTTTTAGTCTACGTTTCGTTTTTCAATGTGTTTTTTATGTTTAGGGTTTAGGGTCAAAGAGGACTTCGTACAAAATCTCACGATCAAAGAAAGTTCGTTTCGAAATTTCACTGGTGCCAGCTCGTGCCAGCCATGGTTATAGACGGATTTATCTGCGGGTGGCTTATATGTGTACTAGAAATTAGGGTTATTTGGTGTGAAGAACAGAAAAAAGCAATATGCATTTTCCCCTTTGAAGTTCCAAAAGAAGCAACCATTCCTTATATTTCTCAGCTTTTTTACGAGCGCTGATGCAGAGGCCCATAAATTAATCCTCTATATCATATTCTGCGCGCTGTTCGCACCTTTCCACCAGTTTTTAGGCAATGTATTTACAGATGCTTTTCTTGGTACGGTAGAGCTATAGATAAAGTGTATGTAATCCGAGAATGCGCTTGCTAGTGCCGTAAATTGAATCTAGTTCTATCATAGAAGAAAACAAATCGGGAGAGCAGATAAATACTGTCAAATGAAGAGTCTTTGCCCTTTTTTTTGAAAGTGACATGTCTGGGAAAAAAAGCAATGTTAAATGTCAATTTCATTAAAATTTCCAATAAAAACTGCAAATTTGAAAATCAAAAACCAAGCAGTGTACCCACTAGTATCTGTTAATGTTCATGCGCAGGAGCTTACTTATGTGATAATTTGAATTAGTATCAAAGCACTTCATATTATGTAATCTCTCCTAAGCGCGATTGCTCTATTCTTTTCAACTACAAAGCAAAAGTCTAGGGTAAAAGGTGGCTAACTCCTCCCCCCGACAATTTTTGGGTTTCTTACATTTCTCCCGAGAATTTGTATTAGCTTGAAAACTGAAGAAAAACGGCGATACATTTGAAATAATAATATAAACCAAAAATTTCAGTTGAAAATCTGATTGAGATGTAAGGGCGCAATGCGCAATCAAGGTATGTACGTGTAGAAAATAGGAAATCTCAACTTTTCGAAAAAAGAAACTTTACTTCCTTTTTTTAGTTCCTGCATTACTGTTTAATTTTTACTCTATCTCGAAATGTCTCAAAGGTGGTCTCATACGATTTTCAAGTCGATTTTCTAGAGTTTTTTTTTGCGATGTAATTTATGTATATTCGGGTGTCACTTACTCAACCAGGTCACGAAACGATTCTAGATCTCATGTTCTTCTCTTCTTCCCATCTTCAGAAAAAGCGAACTCAAATCGGATCTGTACAATATCGTCGCGTTCCTCTCGTAAAAAACTTCCATTACGTGAACGTTGGTAAAATGTGTTGTGGCGATCTCTCAACGGGAATGTAGGGAATCTCTGGAGACAACGCGGGGCCCCGTTAAACGAAGCGATAACGCCATGGAAGGTTCGGGGACACAGTTTTTGATTATGCACCTTTGAAGTTCGTTGGGACTACATAGCAGAGACTACAAACAGCTAAAGGTTTAGCGAAATGACGAAAGCAAGCAAGAATTTCTAAAATGTTCTTGATGGATCCAGGAAAGATTACCTTCACGCAGCTCCCAAAGCACCTACATAAAAGCCGTAGATTTCGAAGTTGCTCCAAAATCTTGTAAGCATGATTTATTAGGCATCCCAAAAGCGTTTTCGCTTCTTCTAAACAAGCTCCAATCCGAGGAACAAAAA